TGGGTTTAAGCAATTCTCCTGCCTTAGCCTCCAGAGTAGCTGGGACTACAGGCACATGCCACCAGGCCCGGCTAATTTTTTTGTATTTTTAGTAGAGACAGGGTTTCACTATATTAGCCAGAATGGTCTTGATCTCCTGACCTCGTGATCCACCAGCCTCAGCTTCCCAAAGTGCTGGGATTACAACTTTTCTGTCCTTTTCAGCCTTCTTTTCACGGACACTGCCTACATCCTGTAAGGCCAACCAAAAATGGCATATTTTCCATTTAGCCTACCCCGATCCCCATGACCGAAACTTCTCAGTCCTGCTTCATATTCACACTGTGTTTATACATCTTAGGTAGCACTGACCACTCTCCACCTTGGACAGATAGGCCACCTTGGATGCTGACGATGGCTGATTCAACCAATCTGTCTGGTCCCTTCCTCTCAGCATCCTGTGTGTTTCTCCCAAAGATGCACACTGACCAAAACATAAACCTTCCGAGAGAGGAGGCACTCTTTCATTAGGGATTTACAAACAGCTGAATTCCCCTTTCAAAATCCACAAACACTCTGCCCAGTGACTTAGATAGTTCTAGCCATATTCCCACTAATGAGTATACTCTTTGTGGAAATGGATCAGGTCTGATTCATCTTTGGACCTCTTACTGCAAACAACTGCATTTCTGAATGTAGTTAAATAAACATTAACTGAATTAAGAATGTCTTCTCTACTATTTATTTTTGAAGCAGTACAGTAGAGTATAGAAACATATACATATATATGTGTATATACACATATATGAATCCTCAAATTTGGAAAAACATTTTATTCTGCTATGCTCCACCTACCTTCCAAATTCTCCATTTGTTAGTTACTTCCCAATGTCTTACATGAATTCCCTCATATATCTACCTCCAAGTCCTGGCTGATAGCTTGCCACTCATGATCTACACACTATAAACTATAGTTTTTACTGTCATCTATGATCAGATCACAGACACAATGACTTTTCTCCTTGTTTTCTTCCTCGTTATTTTTTTTTAATAGCTATAGAATTTAACAGTGGTGTTGGAAGAGTTTCAACAGAAGAGTTTAATTGTTCAATATTATATAAATTAGTAAAATGGCTACAGCAAGGTTATTATGGGCCCAGGTAGTATTGGCTCAAAAGTCAGAAAGCTCTTGACCACTGCTGCATTGTCACCACAAGCTCACCATACACCAGCTTTTAAATAGACTATGGTTCGTTGGCTAACTTACCTGATGGTTTTGAAGCCCACATGAGGGAAGACTACTAAAATTTTTAAAATCTGATTCACCAAGGTTGGCTTTGGTAACCAAGGTTTGGTTACCAAAAGACTGAGAGGCAGTGTGGCATACCAATAGAAGCTTGGTTTGCAGAATCAAAATACCTGGGTGCAAGTCCCATCTCAAACTATTTAATAACTATATGACCCTGGGTAATTTATTTGACTTCTCTGTGCCTCACAAGCCTCAGTTATAGAGTGAGCATAACAGGATACCTGCTCATAGCGTACTATGATGATAAAATAAGGTACTGAAAGTAAAATGCTGAAAATATTCCTCACACATATAAATGTTAGCTCCTCTTACTATTATTATTATTATTATTGCATTGTCCTGAATCATAGATGGCAATAAAAAGGTACATGTTGAATAATGAATTTGGACTTTGCATCTAGACTATGAGCTATAAATCCCATATCCCATTAAATGTAACCAAGACTCTAGAGAAAGGCTGATTCCAGGTATGGACAGGAAATGCATTAAATGATCCTGGGACATGGTACTGTTCCTAAAACCAAGGAAGCTCTCAAAACCTCATGGCTCATAACAAATGGAGACAGACACCACGTGGAAGAGGTTACAAGTGGTTGGAGGTGAAACAATATGAACATAAGAAGAATGATGACAATGTATTGAGAAACACATAACACATAAAAACATAATAAGTAATTTCATAATGATACTCTCCAAGAAAAGCACTACTACAGCCTATAAAGGTTGCTAAGGCATCTGCTTATCATTCTGAAAACTTACAAATAAAGGCAAATTCTCAAACATGTGTCATGTATTTGTTGGGATGAAGGAAAGGTCTCTTTTAGAAAAATCATAGCTAGAAAGAGTAAAAATTGGAAATTGACTCTTTGCAACCCCTAATGCAATAATAGACTTTGGCAAAAACCTTTGATAGATAATAGATGAAAAGCTGATGGTGAACTTGATGATAGATGCATTGGGATGACAGTTCCTGAACCCACTGATGTATCTTAGCATCACTGAGAGTGAAATGGTTGATATCCTTTCCTGTGATGGCAACAGGATAGAAATACACAGCACTGCCAGTGTATCCCTTTTACCAAAAAAAAAAAAAAAGAAAGAAAGAAACCTAAATATAATTGAGTCTTTGTGTCTAAATAGCAGTTTACAAAAAATATGGGCAATAAGAGAAATAATTTGGATACATGGTAAGAATCAGCCAAAATCAAAATATGGGAAATCCTATGGGTAAACTAATCCAATTTCATCAATAAGTAAGTGGCCTGACAAAAGGGGACACTGTTCTAAATTAAGAGAGACTTAAGAACTAGGTCAACAAAAGGCAGTTGTGAACTTTGGATTCTGTCTTGAAAAACAATAATAAAAAAAAAAGGTACATTTGAGACAACAGGAAAAAATGTTAAGTCATAATATGACTGAGATAATGGTATTTGGGTTTTTTTTAATGTTACCTTTTATGGAAGCGTAATGAAGCATTTACAGACTAAGCGGTATGCTGTCTAAGATTTGTTTTAAAGTATTCCAGCAAAATAAAGAAAAGGGAGGAGGTTCCACTACCAGGAAGATGGGGTAGATGGGGTGAGGCAGGAGGAAACGGATGTGGCTCTGACGAGGGACCACAGGGGAGGCTTGTGGGGATAGAATGTTCTGTATCTTGACCACATCAAGGTCAATATCCTGGTTGTGATTTTGTACTACAATACTGAGGGGAAACTTTGGAAAGGTGCCAGTGATTCCTCAGTATTACTTCTTACAGCTGCATGTGAGTCTCAAAAGGAAAAGGTTAATTCACAAAATGAAAATAGGATGTGGCAGGAGATGGATGAATGGCAGAAAAGCTGGTGGCTATACGATTCGTTATCATCTTTTCTCTTTCTTCATTTGCTTGAAAATTTCTATAAGAAAAACGGTTCCTCAAGGTTTAGAAAAGTAAACTTTGCCCTACACACTGGTATTATCTCTGATTTTCGTAACTGGTGTGTCCGCAGACTTTCAAATTCCCACGCCACTAGGTTATTCTACACGTTCTTGCTAGCTGTTTCTTTCTAAAATACTATTTCATTTTACTCTATGATTCCTTTGCTTAAAAGGAACTCTTCTACTTCAGGATAAAGTTCACGGTTATTTAAAAAAAAAAAAAAATCCCTCCACAGTCAGGCCTGAGCAGTTGTGTGTTCATCTCCTATCTACTCTCTGCATAAACTCTGCACTTCAGTTAAACTAGACTCATAATTCCACGGATATAGTTTTGGACATAGTACCCGTGCATGTATGCCATTATCCTGCCTGCTACTCTCTCTCTCTCCTCTACCGACCTAAATATCACCCATTTTTACAAAGCAGAACAAAACCCATCTTCTTAATGAAGCTCCCCCTCTATAATAAGATTCGTAAGAGTAAGGATCATGTATTTTATTACAATGACTACTAGCCGTCCTCAGACAATCGAGGCTTTCAATGGAAAGCTGTGGATTTAACTGAATGAATGTTTAATATAAAACCTTGGAGAGATTACAAAATTTTAGAAAAAAATTTAGAAGTAGAAACGTTAAAGAGATTTAAAAATAAAAACTGGAATTCAGTACACTTGAATTTCAAATAGCAATACTATATTTAATTTGTTTTGTCACCTTGGGTAGCTCATTTAACATATCTTGGTATTTGGTTCTAAAATATAAAATGAAGTACTAGGCTCCTCATTTTTTAATATGTAGATACTATACTTGCCTCTGGAAAAAAATATCCCAAGGGTTTCCATAGACTATAGTTTTATTCCTAAACATTACTCATCAACAGAGGCTAAACTTTATATAAAACACCCAAAGCAAAACAGTATCCCTGATCCACTAGTTTTTAAATAAACCTGAGTCAACGAGAATGAATTACATGATGAGTCTGCAGACCACAGGAAGTAGGAATACCATATCACTTAAAGGTATTGAATTTGACACATATTTCCTGAAGTGCCTGCACCCTAAGGGAGGTACAGTCTCTCTTCCCATAGCATTAAAAATCTGCCATCCCAGAATTTGACGCCAACTGTCAAAGATGTACAGTACAAAGGCAGAAACATTTCATTTCAAAGATTATGACCTTGTCAAGAAACCACTAAGGGTTCCCTGAATACTGAAACAGAGACTCACAAGGACAGGAAGCGCACTGGGGAGAACACAGAAAGAGATTAGATATTAAGAGAATAAATACTACTTTCCCTTAAGGAAAGAATGTTGCTCTCTAAGCAGGCCTGTGTATTCAGGAAGGTCATGACTCACAGTCTGCCTTCCAGGTTGGAAGTGGCAGGAATCTTAACCAAACCATGAAGCCTGTACAGTTTGCCCTGGCACAGACCCTCTGAAAATGCACAGGCTGGAAAGGAACACAGTTGTATAAGAATCGGCTATACCTACCACTAGTACTCAGTGAAACTTGGGAGAGCACCTATCAACAAGAATATCATTAGCACATGAATGAGGAAGCAACATTCCTGCTCTAGAACTTTGATTTCATTAGGATAGGGAGGCTGGTTCCAGGAGAGAGCCCAGTGCGGGAAAGAGATGGGTCAATGGGATGAACTGTGAAAGCTACGCATAGGGCCTTGGGAATGAGTGAACCGAAGTCATAGAACCCAAAGACTAGTCTCGGGAGAAAAGCAAGAAGCAGCAGTTCATTTTTCTCAGCACTGGCCCAGCAGCACCAGAGTCCTGGCAGTTACCTGAGGTTTCTTCACCTTAATGATCCAAGTGGGCGGGACAATAACAGCAGCATGAGCCCCCAGGGAGCAGGGTTCCTCAATGTGATGCAGCATGAAGCAGGTCACCTTATTGTGAAACTGAAGAGAAAAACAGCCCAGTAAACAATTCTGGTCAAAGAGAAATGCTGCAGCAAGAAGGGATAAATATGCATACACGCGCGCGCACACACACACACACACACACACTCTCATTGCATGCACAAAAACACATATGCATGCACACATGCACAATGGGCACATACACACGGAGGACATGCTTTCCTCATCACCACCCAGCCTGCCCCAGGAGATTAGAGACCAGACTTTGAGTTTATTCCGGTTTACAAACTTATAACATTGATAACAAGAAATCGGGCTAGCAGGATGAAGCCTGCTAAAACTTTCTAATTGTTGAATGGAATATTTACATAAAAGTGTTAGAGTCTTGGAGGGTTCTATTAATCCTGATTTCACACAAAATTTTCGCACATATTTCCCTTGACCTGTGCTGGCCATGGATTTGGTTGATTTAAGGTAATGTTGAGAAGGAAATGAACAGGCAGAAAGGCAGTGCCTACCACCTGCCTTTCCTTTTCCTATCATAGATACAAATCCTCCCAGGTTGTCTTTCCAGTTTAGAGAAGGCAGAAGAGAAGCATGATGTCTCTTCTACAGAGCTGAAAATTCCAGAGGTAACAAAGTACAAAGAGATTGCTTCTGTTGGGTTTGTCTAGGGCTGCTAAAAAAAAAAAATACAATGAGCCTATTACTCTTGGCAAGTCTAAAGTGATTTTTTTTGAAAGGAAGTGAATATAGGCTAGCAATCATAACAATACCACAGTATTAAGGTCTTAACTCTATATCCCAACAGTGACACTCAGACTGGTGACCTCAGACCAGTCAAGTTTTCAACCATCTTTTGTGTGACTATAAAGTGACAGTGATGTGCAATAACACTCATTTTTCTAAAAAAGGAAACTAAAATCAGCATTACACAATAATTACAGGCTTTAAGTTTTAATCATGGTGATTTTTAAAAACGTAACTTAAGTTTCTTGTTAGATTTACTTCACATAACTATATAATTTATCATTTTAAGTGGAGCAATTTTAAAAGTAAAAAGTATCACTGATAATCATCACATTGAAACAACAAAGACAAATTAGGACTGTCTCAAAAAAAACTGGCAAATATGGCCACCCTAATTACATTACATAACATTAGAGAGGTTTTTGTCTTCATTTCTGCATGTCTTCAAGATCTGCTGTGATCTAGTGGCTAATTATTAATCAAGCCATTGTGTATAAAATAAAATAATTAATAATTCTGCCTGCCACCAGTTATTTGTGATCTGCAAACAAATATACCAGAAAATGTTATTAAGTTATTAACATTTGAATACCTTTTTTTTTTTTTTCTTTTGAGACAGAGTCTCGCTCTGTCACCAGGCACCAGGCTGGAGTGCAGTGGCGTGATCTCAGCTCACTGCAACCTCCGCCTTCCAGGTTCAAGCAATTCTCCTGCCTCAGCCTCCAGGATAGCTGGAAGTACAGGTGCACACCACCATGCCCAGATAATTTTTTTTTTTTAATTTTAACAGAGACAGGGTTTCACCATGTTACCGAGGATGGTCTCGATCTCTTGACCTCATGATCTGCCTGCCTCGGCCTCCCAAAGTACTGGAATTACAGGCTTGAGCCACTGCGCCTGGCCTGAATAATTTTGTATTTTAAAAATACAAAATTGTTTTAAATTGCTCTTTTTTTTTTTCTTGGCAATTCAAATAAACTCTCAAATGCATGACCACTGCCTTTCTAAAATGTTTGGGATCGAGGAGACTGCCTATGTCAAGCCTCTCAATGTATACTTGAGTGATCTCCACTCTAGAGACTCAGAGGTACATCCAAGATTACACAGCTTTTAAATGGTGGAATCAAAACCCCAACCCAGGAAACCCAGGTCCCAAAATATTCTTTCTCCTGCACCATTAAGGGTCACTTATTTGTTTCTTGGTTGGACATCAAATGTCCTAGAAGCAGTTGACCTGGACTGTTAAAACATATCACCCCTGTAATTTGTGTTCAAATCTTTTGTATCTATCGTCCCTGCAAAAATCACCTTCTACAATATGGGAAATTGGGAAATTCAAAGATAGGTGGAGCTGACCAAAGCTGTACCACCATGGTCAGGTGAAAGCTGTCCTTTGTCGTGATTCAGTGGACCATAGGTTAACAGAAAAAGCACACATGTTCAAGTGGAATTGAGTTTCCAAATTAATTGAACCTGGAGAGACAGCCTGGTGGCTGCACAAGGTGGGAGCAGATGCAGCCTGTCCTAGCACACCACTGCCCAGGAGGCTGCCCCACCAGGATAGGAAACCCAGGAGCAAAGGTAGTAGCACTGGGGAACCCTGGACTGCAAATGGAGATATTGCCTTGATGGTATAGACTTTCATTCAAGAACTAGGATGGTCTTATATTTGTGCACACATTCTTGAACAGATGTGCAATAATTATTTGTGTAACAAGTAACTGAAAATAAATGAAAATGTCAGGAATAAAAAATATGTCAGGATCGTGATGCAGCAACACTGAGCTTTCCAGACCACTGCACTCCTAGCTAGTGACAGCAGGTTCTTCTGACATGTAGGGGGTAGGAATACTATTTGATTAAACTGCATGAACTGCCAACATTTAAATGGTTTTCACCCATGAAATGTCAATTTCGTATGTTTCAACTAAATGAGTCTGTGCCAGCCCTACGGCCTGTGTGGCTAGTTTAGCATGATGTGTGTAGTGGTATGAGTTTTCTGCAAACCTTTAACCTCACCAAAACACCACAGCCTTTTCTTTGCAGGTCCCCTGTGCAAGGAAGGGATTACATATTCCAACTTATTCAAAAGAATAGGGAGATTGAGAGATTATAGCAGGCATCTGCAAACTTTTTCTATAAAGGCAGAGGGAGTCAATATTTTAGGCTTATGGGACCATCTGCCTCTGTTGCAATTACTCAGCTTTGCCACCGTAGCATGAAAGCACCTGTAGACAATATATAAATGCAAAAACAGCCACAGACAATATAGAAGTAACTGGGCATGGCTACATTCCAATGAAACTTTATTTACAAAAATAGACGGCAGCCAGGCTTGACCTATGAGCTGTAGTGTGCCAATACCAGGGTTAGACTATACGTTATCCGGTAAAAGAAAGAACAGGCACACTGGCAAACAAATAAGAAAATGTAGCATCTGGTAGAGACAGAGGAATTAGGCTCCAAGTAAAGTGGGAAAAAAAGGTAGATGAAGAAAAGTAAATAGGGACATTACCATCAGATCCTAATGCATATATATGTTCAAATGTGAGAAAAAGCTACATTTCAATGAGCATACAGACAACATCCAAACCTAAAAAAGCATACAAGAACCACTCTTCTTGTCCTCACACTTAGCCCCAAAATAAAAATTCACGCACATTAAAACCAGAAGAACCAGGATTCCTGTCCACCTGTGTTGGTGGGACACCTCTTATGTCACACATGTCTTTGCTTCTAATGTTGCACCTTCCTACCATAGGAGGAGTTCTCAACAATACAGAGGCATGGGGTCGGGGGGATAATGTGATCTAGGAGTGAGAAGCCCTCAACTCTAGTCCCAGTATTAGAATTAGGGGAGGATTTTCTAGTCTTTGACTCCAAATCTCAATGTATATAAAATACAGAAGTTAATTTCTCTCTCTAGTGTATCCCAGCTCATCTACACTATTGTTCCATAGCTTCAGTTTGTCTTTCTTACTCCAAGGGCCCTATATGAGAAAAGCAATACATTAAATTAGGAATGCCTTCTATTTACGGAAGGAACTCAAGTAATGACATAAGCATATTTTGACAAAACATGAGCCATTGCTTTATTCCATGTCAAACTTACCGCCTGCTTGCACCAGGAACAGCTGATAGCCACAATCTCTTTACTGTGGAAGGAGAACTTTTGCTGGAAGCCCTGGGATATTAGGACAAGAGACAGAGAATTTAAAACCACCTCAGTTACAGCACACATTTGCCCTCCTGAAGTTCAGTGAAGTGACTAAGACCAGAACTGTCACTGAAGGTGAGGAGAACTGCAAATGCCACATGGAGCACCACACTCTCCACTTTCTGCTTGCAGTGACTATGCCCGAAGCGTTTTGAGTGTGAGAGAGAGGAGGTGCTGGTATTTCTTAGACCACAAACTACTCAAAGTCGGACACACCAAAAAAAGCTTTATGAAAAAATAAATGTAGTTCTGATATATTTTTATTATAAGCAAAGGAAAAGCCACTATTGGTTCACATGGTGCTGTATAACAATAATCATTCATCTCAGAGGTTCTGTACAACTTCATCACCTAAGAACCCAGAAAAAAAGAAATGAAATATCAGAGAGACAATAACTAGAAGTCAGGGTCTGGGAGAAGTCCAAGGGTATAGTAGTAAATTCAGCCACTTTCATAAGCCCCTTGAGATGTCTGCACTCAAAACAAGCAGCTTTTAATGTTTATTCTTTATCAGGAAGCAGCAATGAAATCAACGAAATGGTAAACCCAGTCCTCTTAAAGGAACAAGCTGAATTACTTTTCTATCAAGAACGGAGGAGGTGATTTTGGCTGCCGCTGTCCCTAAATAATGGCCAGAGAGAAGTATGTAGTATTGCTCAAAGAATTTTTTTAGCCTTCCCAAAGCTCATCCATTTCCCTCTGCCTGTGAAATTTAAACCCAAACAAAAATTTCAAAGCAACCAGAAAAAATGTTAAAATGGAGCTTTTGTAAGGTGATCAAAAGAAAACAGAAAGATGTAATAGCCAGGAAAGCTATCCAAAGCACTGGCTAAATAAATCTTGCTTAAGATGTACAGACAATTTTAAGTTGAAAATCAATTACCACATTATTAAATGATGTCCCAGTGGCATTTTTCTGTGCCCATAATCCCTGCCCATCTGCAGTACTTTGTATGCCACTGGGCATTTTCTCCTTTTGAGCCTCTCTTCTCTCTTGATTTCCTAATACACCATTCCAGTTCTCTTCCGCCTCTCCAGTCATCTGTATGTGCACAGAAGACCAGGACTGGTTTCACTATTTTTGCTCCAACCTCAAATACCACTTTCAGAGACATGATGTTAACATCAGACTCTCCTGGGTTTTAAAAAAATGTATCCATCAATATCTCATTCTCAAAAATCTAAGTGATATTTTCACTCCTTCTGCAGAAAAAAGTTAACATAGCAAGCCTGAGACTCCTTAGAAAGACTGCTTGCGGCCGGGGGTGATGGCTCACACCTGTAATCCCAGCACTTTGGGAAGCTGAAATGGGAGGATCACCTGAGGTCAGGGGTTCAAAACCAGCCTGGTCAATATGGTGAAACCCCATCTCTACTAAAAATACAAAACTTAGCTGGGTGTGGTGGCACGTGCCTATAATCCCAGCTACTCAGGAGGTTGAGTCAGGAGAATCACTTGAACCCGGGAGATGGAAGTGGCAGTGAACCGAGATTGTGCGACTGCCCTCCAGCCTGGCTGATAGAGCAAGATTAAGTCTCAAAAAATAATAATAATTAAAAAATACAAAGAAAAGAAAAGCTGCTTGCAAGTTTTGTCCTTGGTTGGCATCTGGGAACTTGGATTTCAGGAGGGTTCTCCAATTCCCAGCACAGTTAAGAGTGTCTCACTGGGCCTAAACTGTTTGCACAGGCTGGGCACAGTGCCTCATGCCTGTAACTCCAGCACTTTGGGATGCTGAGGTAGGCAGTTTGCTTGAGGCCAGGAGTTTGTGACAGACCTAGGCAACAGAGTAAGACCTTATCTCTATATTAAAAATTAAAAAAAAAAAAAAGAAACTTTTTGCACAAACAATGTAGTTTATGCTGAGTATCTGCTGTTCCTCTGAAAGTCTGGAATTTTATTATGTGCAATGCAGAGGGTGCTTATGTGAAAAGACCTCAATAAAAACTCTGGACACTGAGTCTGTAATTCAACAGGTAGACAATTGACAATATTCCTTCCACATGTGTGTCACAGTACATTGCTGGAGGAATTAAGCGCATCCTGTGTGACTCTGCTGGGAGAGAACTCTTAAAAGCCTGTGCCTGGCCTCCTCCAGACTTTGCTCCATGAGCGCCTCCCTTTGCTGATTTCACTTTTTATCTTTGTGTTGTAATAAACTATAGATGTTAGCACTATAGGCTGAGTCCTGTGAGTCCTCCTAGTGAATCACTGAACCTGGGGTGGTCTTAAGGACCCCTGATATGCTCCTCTTCTCCCAGATAATGACTCTTGCTATTTCTTCTTCTGTCAATGACAGTATCTTTTCCCCAAGAGAAAAAGTGCATGTGTCACACACACACATGGACTTAAGCACTGCATCAGGTTTGATGTCCATGTGTTTACTATTGCAGGGCCAGCAACAGCCCCCACAGCCCCCAGCACCTGAGAGTTGCAACTGCCTAACAGGAATAGCTTACAAGAGGACACAGAGTCTAGGGAGCCAAAGGGTTAGGTATGCAGGTCTTTTCAAAGATGATGCCAAACTGTTCAATATGAAATAAGATGGCACCAAAACTGCAGAAATGACTTCACATTGCAGCCATTTGAAAATGTCCTCATAATCCCCCAAGCCATTTTTCAGAGAACAAAAAAGAGATAGATAAAATTCCTCTTGAGAGCTACGGCTACACTTTGTGACTACTGTGTGAAGGAAGAAAAGAGCAGCAGAAGCTAAGGTATGACCCAAGTGTCTCTGTCCAGCTCAGTATTACACTCTGCTGATGGTCACCTCCCATCTGGATTTTTGCTCCATTTTCTAAGTTGTCCCTTCACTGACAGTCTGCTTCTCCCTTTATTCCTCACTCTATCCTGGGCACTGCCACCAGGTAAAATGATGCTTTCTAAGTTTCTGCCTCCCATTCAAAATACTTAAATGACACTTCATTCCTTACAGATTAACAGAATAAACTCTTCATGCCACCCATAATCTTTCCATCAATTTTTCAACATCTGTCTTCCACTTTGTATTATAAATTCCCGTCCATAATGAGACAGGTCTACTTATATCCACAATATGCTTTATTCTTTCATAGTTCTTTTACTTTATTTATTTATTTTTGGCTCTTTTCTCATTCTCAACATACCTTCTAGAAACCTACCCCCATTTCATAGGCAGTATCTAAATGTTGCTTCCACTAAAAAATCTACAAGAGTCTTCCAAAATCCCCTCAACTCACCGTGATCTCTCCTCACACAGGCCTTGCCATCTATATCTACCCTTGCCATTGTAAATTAGCTGTCCTATGTGGCTGCTTATTTTGTGTGCACATGTATTATCTCTCCAAAGGAATTATAAGCTCTTTTAAGGGGGTCAGTCCTTGTATAGTTCTTAGCAACTTGGCATAGTTCTTTGAACATCATAGGCATGTCATGATATTTTCTAATTAATTGAACAAAAAGTTGCTGCTACTTTCTCATGATCTAATTACAAACTTCATGCTATTCAGACATTATAAGCCTTACCCAAGCCACCTGAAAATATGTCTCCTCACAGCATCCTTCCAGGCAAAAAAACTAACCACTACAGGCTGGGCACGGTGACTCGTGCCTGTCATCCCAGCACTTTGGGAGGCTGAGGTGTGCGGATCACAAGGTCAGGAGTTCAAGACCAGCCTAGCCAATATGGTGAAAACCCGTCTTTACTAAAAATACAAAAATTAGCTGGGCATGGTGATGGGCACGTGTAGTTCCCAACTACTTGGGAGGCTGAGGCAGGAGAATCCCTTGAACCCGGGAGGCGGGGGTTGCAGTGAGCCAAGATTACACCACTATACTCCAGCCTGGGCAACAGAGTGAGACTCTGTCTGAAAACAAAACAAAACAAAAAACCTAAACCCTACAGACACTGCAGGGATGGTACAATTGCAATATTCATTTTTAAGTCTACAATACTGAAATGCTGCATGGCTAAAAATCAATACAGTAGAATTCATGGCATGACAGCAGTAGCAGCCATAACTAGAGGTCTGCTAAATGTTATGGTTTTAAACGTATAATTGTAAGTCTTAAATGCAGGACACCATTCCCTCCACTTAGCTATCAGATGGCTGTGCATCAAACAGGAGCTGAAGAGAGATGGCAAAGCTCAGAATCGTTCTTGGATCTTCTTGTTGGCTGAGTGATCTTAGGCAAATCCTTTAACTCTTCTAACTTCCTCTTTCATGTGAAAATGGGAATAATAATACAAACCTCTCCTATAACACTAAGTGGTTATAAGCATCAAATGAGGCCATGCATTTAAAAAAAAGCCAAGACCCATTGGTATTCTACATCCAGATCCATCTCACATGCAAGGATACACAAAGACTCAAAACAAAGGGATGGAGAAAAATTTACCAACCAAATGGAGAGCTAAAATAAATACATAGAAAGCAGGCGTTGCAATTTTTGCTGATAAAATAGATTTCAAAGCAACAAAGATCAAAAGAAGCAAAGAAGGATATTACATAAAGATAAAAGGATCAATGTAACAAGAAGAGCTAAAGATCCTAAACATATACGCACCCAATACAGAAATACCCAGATATATAAGACTTATAAAGAGACTTGGACTCCCACACAATAATAGTGGGAGACTTCAACATCAATATTAGATAGATCAATGAGACAGAAAGTTAACATCGATATTCAGGACTTGAACTCAAATCGGGAACAAGTAGACTTAATTAACATTCATAGAACTCTCCACTTTAAATACACAAAATATACACTCTTATCAGTACTACATCACACATATTTACAGGTTTAAATGAAATATTGGTTGGCTGCTTGTTAATTATTTTCTTCCCTCTTTTTTTTTTAATGTCTCTATTATTAAACACAATTACAGGCATTCCCAGTTTTAGACTGCATTCTAGCCCGGGCAATAAAGCAACACCCCTGTTCTCTCTCCCTCTTCTTCTTCCTCTTTCTTCCTTTCCTTTAT